CACCAAAAAAACCAAACAAAAAGCAACAAAACAACAACAACAAATAATTTAAAAAAAAACAACCCACAACCCCTCCTGCAAAACAATTATGCTTTGGCTGGCTTCCAGTGAGTGCAAAACTTACATTTTTACCAGTTTAGAATAAAAATATGTTGCCTCCAACACTTGATTTTCAGGGAAGACATCTCTGCATAATTAATACTATTGCATCCACATTCTAATTTATGCATTTTAATTATATCAAAGGGCTGGTGAATAATTAATGCTAGCAAAACAATGGGTCTGAAGCATAAGCTGAAAAGTATCACTTTTTAATGGGCTCTGTAAATTTAAATAACTAATGAAAGCTATTTAACTGTTTGATTGTGGGTATATTTCTCCCTGATACAATCAAGGATTAACTACCATAATTGAGCAGCCTCTCAAGTGGAGAAATGTTAGCTCAGGTTAGTTTTTTTTTCTTAGTGCATATTGACCCATCTGAGCTATATGCTTGCAGGAGAGATTTATTTGCATGTTTCACCTCTGGGAGGAACTGGTAAGCCATTGGTATCATTGATAAGAGGTAAAATCAGAATTCTTGGCACAGCTTTCCCCTCTGACCCCCTGTCTTCAAGTAGGTCAGTTCATGCAAGTTTCATGGGGAGATTTAGAATTGAATCTAAAGAAATACAATATAGAATTTATTACCTTTGAGTTCAGCAATCTAAGAATTAAGGATGTAGGCCAGGTTAGTAATTTAGAGCCTTGCAGTGGTCAGAGAGAGATAGAACTTCTGGAGAATTTAATCTCATCCTAGAATGGGTTTTTGAAATAGATGGGATTAATAACCATTTGGCAGTGTCTAGCATTTTTCTTACAGAAGCAGCTTAGGATCCTGTCTTACCCATACACCTAACTTTTAGACAGCCAAGTTTAGATGAAGTTAATCTCACCAGCAAAGGCAGCCTCTGAAACTATGGTGTAAAAAAGCTAATCACACCAATATGAGGGTGTAAAGAGAAAAAGAGGCAAAACAGAAGGGCTCACAGCACAGAGCTGTGCAAAGTTCAGTGAGTCACACAAACGACCAGCATCAGCTCCTTGACCAGGTCTCATATTTGAATCATGTCACTCTTTAATAAAGTCCCTCCCCCTCTGAAAGGCTCAAAATGTACCTTCATATTAATCTGCCATAGCCAATACCAGCCTCCAGCCCTCTCTGCTCCCTGGAGCTGGGCTGGGCACAGTGATGTGCTAAGAGCAGGCTGTCCCAGATGTGCAGCATGTCCTGGCTTTCATGCACTCTGAGTTTGTCACGCAAAGAGTGGTGAAAGCATGTGGACAGCAGACAGCACTGACTGCAGAGCATGGAAACCTGGCAGCAGAAAGTGCTAATTTCTTTAGGAGAGTAAAATGGCACAGCAAATGATGAATTACTGCGATCCCTGGCAATATATTACATGCACTCAAGAAATACCAGCTTGTCAATATGAATACAAAATGAATAGCTTCTACCAACTTTTTTTTGTTCTTGTTTTCCATATCAGAAGTTTGCACTTTAATGCTCAATGTTTGAGGAAGTGTCATAAAAATAACAGCAACAGGACTTTTAAAGGAAATAAGATTGACAAAGGCTGCTGCCAATTTTGCATATCAGGCCCTTTATTTAAGTGCATTAATTCGACCTCAGTAACTTCTGGCTCCTATGTTTGAAATTTTCTCTTTTTTACCTAATGTTATGTGTTGAATTGAAGTGTTTGACTCTCCATAGCACTAACTTGTGTCACTGGGGAGATATTAGGAACTAATTGTGTTTTCCCTGTTTTCAGCTGTGTTTGCACGAGCCTGGGCATTTGCTAGTGCTCTTCTCAGTGGTTGTGGCCAAGAGTTACTTTCACTTTGGTCAGGTTGGATGGTGTGTCCCTTCATGCAGAGGTTGGGAAGGACAGGAAAGAACAGAAAAGGCTCTTGCAGAGGGGACTCTGCTCCAGGGAAATCTCAGCCAGCCAAAGCAATCTGCTGCCTGGCCCCAGGGAATATTCCATAGAAGTCAGAAAGCAGAACACGAAAGAAAACCTGCCATAATATCAGATTAAACCAGTTTATTTGTTGTGAGCAGCAGTACCTGAAAGAACAGATATTGGGGCAATCTGGGGCTGAGTTAACAGGCTGACACTGAGGGCTTACTTGTTCTTCACTGCTCAGCTTTGCTGCCCAGGGGCTAGGCAGTATCCTGATGGCATTCCTCTGCACCCCATTCCTCTCTCCTTACAGCAGAGCCTACAATGAGTAGTAAGAGCAATTCGCCAAGAAACACAACACTTTCATGGAATCCCACTTAAGACCAAAACCTGCTTAGCATGTTTGGGATGGAGTCTGTGTTCCAGCTGTCCAGGGCTTGCAATGTGCCTGATGAAAAGCGGGAGTTCGCGGTCTCAGGTGAAGAGCTTCCCTTTGCTTCTGCCCTTGCAGGACTACGCTGAGAAGGAGAAAGCTGCAGCTAAGGCCCTGGAGGATGTGAAGGCGAACTTCTACTGTGAACTGTGTGACAAGCAGTACCACAAACACCAGGAGTTTGACAACCACATCAATTCTTATGACCACGCTCACAAGCAGGTAAACCTGATAAATGTCTTGCGTGTTACGACGGTCTCTCTTCCCTCCTCATTGGTCGTGGGAGGTTTCTAAATTCACCCAAGTAGAAGACAATTCATCATTTGATGTTTTCAACTTTAGCATGCTACTTTCCATTAAAATAAAATGGAAAATATTCACTTTTATCACAATTTTTTTTAAGCTACTCTGACTGAAAGATCTCAGCTGTAGCTTTAGATACATGCTTAATACTGATGTCTGGACTAAATTTGATAAATTTAAATGTGGAATTTCTTAAAAACCACAGGCAGGAGCAAGACCACTTCCTCAAATGACCAGGTCCCTCTTTTCACCCTCCCAGTCACAGAAAAGCCTCTATTCTTCATGCTTTTATCAGAAGGCATATGACCATGCTGTTTCAAGCTGGCTGTGCTGTTTCAAGGGCAAAACTTAATTTTATCTATTTTTTTTACAGCATCTGTTTCTGGAGTTAAAATCTATGTCTCATCATGTTTCTCAGACAAAATACATTTTTCCTTGCATACAGAATGATATAAAATAATCCCTGATGAGATGTTGGATTCCTGGAAAAAGATCATAAATACTAATTTTTTATCACTTTTTTGGTATAAATTCTATCACATTTGTATGTGGTAGGTATATTTTATCCATATGTGCCTATTAACTTTATTTCCCAAGTCCCAGTTTTCCTCCAATTTTAGCAAAATCCATATTTCAATTGGTAACATGAAAGGAAAATGCAATTAATTCATATAAACACTTCAGAATTTAAAGAAAATGGTTTGTGAAGTCCAGGAGTGAATGTTTCTTAACCTCTGAAGCAGAGATCACATCTGCTGACCTGGCATCCTAAGCACATGTTACTGGATTCTGTAGATGGATCTTTTCCTCCTGGATTTCTGCTAGTGCTTGCATTTAGGGGCTCATGCATTGCGTGCATCCAAGCTGCCAGGGAATTACTGTCCTCTGTGTGATCACACTTGTGGGTTCATGAGGGTCAGGAGCTACCTCAAAAATATGTGAAACCATTAGAAGTTGCAGATGCTTCTGGAGAGAGTATTAGAAATAATAATGTTGAATAAAATGAGCAATGCTAAAGGCAAAACTCCTTGGTCTCCCTGAAAGCAATCTTATTGTCTTCTGCAGTATCACAGAGGATGTAAATCACCCTGGAATTTTCTGTGTGCATCTATCACAGCACTTAATTTAAAAACTGCCTAAGGTCTGCCCACACATCAAATGCTGAACCATCTTGCTGAATTCAAGCACCCCAGGCAGCTATCCATGGGTAATAATGGGACTCTTTTGTCCCATCACTCCCAAACCAGAGTTATGTGCTTATGCATTAAATCAAAAGCAATTCCCCTCATCACCATTCTTTTAATTAATCCATATTTTTTTATAATTGTACAAAACAAATGCTTTTCCAGATCCTAAACCTGTGACTCTAATCCCTATAAATCCCCATTTGCTGCACACAAGATTTTTTCACCCTTCAGCTGTTTTTTTAAGTCATCAGAAATGCATCTGAACTCAAATGGAGCCATTTGTGCTCTTTCCTCTTCACACACTCCCCCTGCAAAAAGCAGTTTATGCTAAATCAAACAGCCTGCTTCATGCACCAACTATGATTGGGTTGTTGGGCAGGGGAGGTTTTTGGCAAGTTTCTGTTATAAAAGGGCTTGTTTAAGCAATAAAACTCTTCTTAATTTTCAGATAAATTTACTGCTTTAAAGGCTGCCAGACATATAGTGCTGGGAACTAAGAGTCTGCACAGAAATGCATGACATATACAGAATATCAACGGGCAGTGCAAGCTCACCTCGTCCTGCCCTTTCAGATGCAGTTCAGTGGCTCAGTTAGTGCAGGATTAGCTAGACACCCTCCTGATGTGTCAGGGTAATTCAGTCTCCTCTCCCCTCTCACTTCTTACCTGGTCAGCCAAGCCTGGAAAAAGAATTAGTTTGCCTCTAGGAATAGTGTAGGTGTTTACTCTGACTTTTTATAGTCAGTCACAGAAAAGCCTCCCTTCATGACTGCATGATTTAATCTTAAAAAAAAAAGTGAATTTATGTTTGTTTGTTTTTTTTTTTTTTTATGGTTTCCTGTGAGTTTAGTTAGTTTTGTTTCAAAATGTTTATTCTGGGAAGGACATTAGCCACCAAAAGAGCTTCTTCCTCTGAAGGTACGTTTTCTGCTTCCCAGCAGTAATTTGAGGGTAGCTTTAGTAATCTGCATGGATATGTTCTAAACATCATTCTTCTAATGGGGAGTAAATTAAAATGAGACACTCTTTGCATCTCAGTAACAATACAGTATACTCCTCCCATGTGATTTCCCATTTAAATGCTACTACTTCACAATTTGTATTAAAGTGGAAATGAGGTTTAGAGAAGATAGTAAGGCAGAAAAAAAGGATATTGCACTGAGTGCTTAATCATAAGTCTTTTGTTTGTCTTCCAGAGGAAACAGATTTTATTCAGAGAATTGTGGCTTTAATCTCCAAATATTATGGTTTCATGAAATTAATTTTGTGATCCTTTTTCTTATAGATGATTTCGACCAGTTGTTATAGCAGGAAGTGCTGAGTCCTGGACCCAGCAGCTGGCATACCAGCCATTGCCCTCCCTGTCCTCAGAGGCTGCAAAATGTTTTGATGGCAGTCTGGCCTAGTTTGCATAAATGGTCTTTCTGCTGTCTTTCTGTGTTAGATTATTCTAAAGCAGTATACTCAGACATAGCCCCTCTCTCTCTCTCTCTGCTTGCTACATACTTTCAAATTTATGGGCATAAAAATATGAGGTATGTGTACATATATATGCATAAAATTTTGACAGACCATCAAAGATCAATGCCAATATCTTCATTATCTTCTAACACTATAATGACCCTAGAGAGTTCTAATATTATTTATCTATTTTTGAGTAACATTTTCCCACTATTAAGCAATTCTTATTCCTTTGGTTGTCTTGTCAGCATTAGACTCAACATCTTTCCTGACATGCTACAAGAATTTTTCATTGATGTTACCTGCTATTGGAAATTAATTTATTTCAGTGCACTGCTGGATAAAGTGAACATAGAAAATCTGTCTGATTGCAAGTTTGCACTCCCACCCAGCTTTACCTGAGCCCTGTGCTGTTAAACCTGATACTTAACAAGGTTGGGGCAGGAGTGGGAGTGACTTTCCTGGGAGAATCTAATCTTTCATCACCGTACAGCCCTGTGCATGCATCTCCCATTTGCTACCACATATCAGCTAACCCACTTAAGTCACAGCTTTTTCCCTTTTTGTTTTTTTCTATGACTTTATGAACCCAGGGGCAGCAGTCAGGGGGAGCAGCCTGCTTGATAAATCTGCACTTTCTCTCCTCAAGCATCAAGGTGAAGGACGCTGGCGCTGGCTTGCTCGCTGTGCTCTCTGCAGCAAAAGTTAACAGCATCAGAACGGGGTACTGGGCTCTGCCAAAGCTCTCTGAGCACTGAAAAGCAAAAAGGGTCCTGGTGAGAATTCATTTTAAAGTGATCAGGATATAGAGAACCAAGATAGGCTGCCACCTGAAAAGGTAATTTATGCAGGAGTTGGTTAAGCTGAAAATAATGTACAAGGGTAGTTCTTTTTAACCATGTTTTGTGCATCTTTAAAATGAAGCTAAAGTTGAGCAGAGGTGTCTATTTGGTCGATATTATTAAATGGAATCTTTTAATAAGTCCAGGTCATGCACAGTGTCCATTCATTCAGTTAACAACAAAGTAGTTGGAGCTTTCAATTTTTTGTATAAATAATCCTTAGCAATGAGCAAGGCTTTTAGATGTCAGCAAAGGAGAATATCACAAATCCGTTCCATGTACTGCAATATAATAATTATGATGATAAAAATAATAATAATAATAATAATGATAATAATAGCTAGAAGCAGCAATGAAAAACAAGACTGTATTGCCATCTTGGGGTTTCTGATGACAAAGCAAGCTTTTAGTTTTGTTGTCAAAATTTAACCATACAGTTAAATGCATCAGACTCTCTCCTGCAATAAAAAAATACACAAACTAAAAAAAAACTATAAAAAGCACCCCACAACATAAATTTTAGTGTCCTTGAAGCAGACAGTACTAAGTAAGAGAACAGAAGTTTCAGTCTACTCTGGTTTACGTGAACATACCTGTATTTCAGTATTTACATCCATGCATACATGCATTTGGTTGTATTTTTGGCATGAGAAACTGATTTAGTGTGTACAGCTGTTGGCACTTACTGTTAAGCCTTTATGGTGCTTGTGGATTTAAACTCTAATTCAGACAGAGATTTAGTTCCTGTTAAACTTCAAAGCTAGCAAACATGCTTACATTTTAGCTAGCATTGCTGCTGCCACCCAGAAAATGTACTGATAAGTTAACTCAGAGAAAGCTCCAGGGATGATTGTAAGTGTTGAGATCTTGTTAGTTCATCTTGAGGGTGTTTTTTCCAGCATCTCTGTGTTTATTGGAGGAAAAGTAAGTCGTGTCTTTTGGTGCCAAGGCAAACCTGTGTTACCCAAACAATTTTCATTTGGAGGAAAAATAACTGGTTTGGCAATATCTGAGGAATTTCACCTTAAGATCTGGATGTGGGAAATTAGGCAAACGTTAAGAAACCTTCTTGTGGACAAAGGAATGCATATTCAGCTGTAAGAACACACTAATCCCAGACAGAGCTACACCAGCATGAAGGTCCCTTACTACATGGGCTTGGGTAGTCTCTGCTATTTTCCCTTGGAAAATGGGTGTACCCACTGTTCCTCTGGTGCTCCCATGAGGACAGGGCTGAGGTCCTTCCCTGCAGCCCCTGCTCCTGCACTTCTGCATCAGGACATTGGCCTTTAAAGAGATGACCCTTGAAAAGCAGGACATTGGCCCTGACTTTGTGGGGCCAAGTTTTGCACATGGGTCTGTATGCTGTGGCCTCCTCAGGAAACAACCTGAATGGTAAAAGGCCTCATAATTTCTTGCTTTCAGTTAGC